TTGCTGGTGACGAGTTCGACGAGAGTCTGGTTCCTGAAAAACCTGTTTTGTGTTGAGTCCTGGAGGCAACAGGTGAATTTGTTTGAACAGTTTTGATTCTCGCCGACACAAACGGGTCACAGCTCCGACTTTTGACCAGAATCCTTCAGCGGCCATTTGTTGTTCTCGCTCTTTTAGTTTGACCACAGGTGTGTCACTTTAAGACGTGAGCGTGAGTGTGAGTGAGTGTGAGTGTGAGTGAGTGTGAGCGTGAGCGTGAGCGTGAGCGTGAGCGTGCGTGAGCGTGAGCGTGAGCGAGTGTGAGTGTGAGTGTGAGTCTGAGTGAGCGTGAGCGTGAGCGTGAGCGTGAGCGTGAGCGTGAGCGTGAGGTGAGCGTGAGCGTGAGCGTGAGCGTGAGTGTGCGAGTGCGAGCGTGAGCGAGCGTGTGTGAGCGTGAGTGTGAGCGTGTGAGTGTGTGACGAGCGTGAGCGTGAGCGTGAGCGAGTGGCGAGTGTGAGTGAGTGTGAGTGTGAGTGTGAGCGTGAGCGTGAGCGTGAGCGTGAGTGAGTGTGAGCGTGAGCGTGAGCGTGAGCGAGTGTGAGTGTGAGCGTGAGCGTGAGCGTGAGCGTGAGTGAGTGTGAGTGCGAGTGAGCGTGAGCGTGAGTGTGAGCGTGAGCGTGAGCGTGAGCGTGAGCGTGAGCGTGTAGTGAGTGTGAGCGTGAGCGTGAGCGAGTGTGAGTGTGAGTGCGTGAGTTGAGTGCGAGTGAGCGTGAGTGTGAGTGAGCGTGAGCGTGAGTGTGAGTGTGAGTGCGAGTGAGCGTGAGTGTGAGTGAGTGTGAGTGAGTGTGACGTGAAGCGTTGAGCGTGAGCGTGAGCGTGAGTGAGTGTGAGTGTGAGCGTGAGTGAGCTGTGAGTGAGTGTGAGTGTGAGTGTGAGTGAGCGTGAGCGTGAGTGAGTGTGAGCGTGAGCGTGAGCGTGAGTGTGAGCGTGAGCGTGAGTGAGTGTGAGTGTGAGCGTGAGCGTGAGCGTGAGTGAGTGTGAGCGTGAGCGTGAGCGTGAGCGTGTGAGCGTGAGCGTGAGCGTGAGTGAGCGTGAGTGAGCGTGAGCGTGAGCGTGAGTGAGTGTGAGCGTGAGCGTGAGCGTGAGCGTGAGCGAGTGTGAGTGTGAGTGTGAGCGTGAGCGTGAGTGAGTGTGAGTGTGAGTGAGTGTGAGTGTGAGCGTGAGCGTGAGTGAGTGTGAGTGTGAGTGTGAGCGTGAGCGTGAGCGTGAGCGAGTGTGAGCGTGAGCGTGAGCGTGTGAGTGAGCGTGAGCGTGAGCGTGAGTGTGAGTGTGAGCGAGTGTGAGCGTGAGCGTGAGCGTGTGAGTGAGTGTGAGCGTGAGCGTGAGCGTGAGCCCGTGCACACGTCAGGAGATAAAATGCCCCTAATAAAACATTTATTTGACTGTGGAACAAAGAAATGTTTTGTTACACACAGTCAAAGATTTAAATGACAATAAAACCTGCAAATGAGAATGTGAAATAAAGTTACATAAAAACGTCAGTCAAGGTCAATTCATTTTATTTTATTTTTTTTGATGTAAATGTGAGTTAAATTTTTTGCCGACTGGACCTGTTTTGTGTTTTTGTCGTCATGAAAAAAGCTGTGACAAAAACTAAAACATCTGCACAGAGGAAAGAGTTTAAAGAGTCACTCGTTTAAACGTTTACAGAGTTAATGTTTCTAGAACGTCCGTTAAGAAGAGGAATGAGAGACAGAGAGATGGAGAGATGGAGGGAGAAACAGAGAGACGGAGAGACGGAGAGATGGAGAGACAGAGAGACAGAGAGACAGAGAGACGGAGAGACGGAGAGAAAGAGAGATGGAGAGACGGAGAGATGGAGAGATGGAGAGAAAGAGAGAAGGAGAGAAGGAGAGAAAGAGAGAAGGAGAGAAGGAGAGAAAGAGAGAAGGAGAGAAAGAGAGAAAGAGAAGGAGAGAAGGAGAGAAGGAGAGAAGGAGAGAAGGAGAGAAGGAGAGAAAGAGAGAAAGAGAGATGGAGGGAGAAACAGAGAGACGGAGAGATGAGAGAGAAGAGAGAAGGAGAGATGGAGAGACAGAGATGGAGAGAAGGAGAGAAAGAGAGAAAGAGAGAAGGAGAGAAGGAGAGAAGGAGAGAAAGAGAGAAAGAGAGAAGGAGAGAAGGAGAGAAAGAGAGAAGGAGAAAGAGAGAAGGAGAGAAAGAGAGAAGGAGAGAAAGAGAGAAGGAGAGAAAGAGAGAAAGAGAGAAAGAGAGAAGGAGAGAAAGACAGAAAGAGAGAAAGAGAGAAGGAGAGAAAGAGAGAAGGAGAGAAGGAGAGAAGGAGAGAAGAGAGAAAGAGAGAAGGAGAGAAGGAGAGACAGAGGATGGAGAACAGAGAGATGGAGAGATGGAGAGATGGAGGGAGAAACAGAGAGACAGAGAGACGGAGAGACAGAGAGACAGAGACGGAGAGATGGAGAGACAGAGAGATGGAGAGACAGAGAGACAGAGACGGAGAGATGGAGAGACAGAGAGATGGAGAGACAGAGAGACAGAGAGACGAGAGACGGAGAGAAAGAGAGATGGAGAGACAGAGAGATGGAGAGACAGAGAGAGAGAGATGGAGAGAGAGAGAGATGAAGAGAGACAGAGAGATGGAGAGACAGAGAGACAGAGAGACAGAGAAAGAGAGATGGAGAGACAGAGAGATGGAGAGACAGAGAGATGGAGAGAGAGAGAGAGAGAGATGGAGAGACAGAGAGATGGAGAGAGTGAGAGATGGAGAGAGTGAGAGATGGAGAGATGGAGAGACAGAGAGACAGAGAGACGGAGAGAAAGAGAGATGGAGAGACAGAGAGATGGAGAGACAGAGATGGAGAGACAGAGAGATGGAGAGATGGAGAGAGTGAGAGATGGAGAGATGTGAGAGAGTGAGAGATGGAGAGATGAGAGAGTGAGTGATGGAGAGAGAGATAGAGACGTTCTTCACTCAGAGCTGTTCTCCTCAGATTTTTCTCTCGTCGTTTCTTCTCTGAGCCTCTGAACGTTTATCTGGACTTTAATCTCAGATTTTCTAGACTCAAGTCGTCGTTTTGGTTCGAGTGTAAAAAAAAAGAAAAGAAAAAAAGCTTTGCTCTGGTGTCAAACTGCAGCGACAGATTTAAGGAGAGTTTTAAGTTTTAAAATCCGGCCAAAAGATTCTGCGAGTGGAGCCGCACACAAACGTGTCACGGAACATTCTGGAACTTAAACGACACTGACCTGAGAGCAGAGGAACGACACTGACCTGAGAGCAGAGGAACGACACTGACCTGAGAGCAGAGGAACGACGACCACCACCAGGGGGAGCCAGCGCGCCGCTCTCATCACACAACTGCAACAAACAACAAACAACAAACAATAAATAAACAACAATAAACAACAAACAATAAACAATAAACAAACAACAAACAATAAATAAACAATAAACAATAAACAATAAATAAACAACAATAAACAATAAACAACAAACAAAAAACAATAAAAACAAACAATAAACAACAAACAACAACAACAAACAATAAACAATAAACAAACAACAAACAATAAAATAAACAACAAAACAACAAACAATAAACACAAACAAACAACAACAAAAACAAACAATAAACAACAAAACAATAACACAAACAATAAAACAACAACAATAACAAACAACAATAAACAACAAAACATAAACAACAACAAACAACAACAAACAACAATAAACAACAAACAACAACACAAACAAAAACAATAAACAACAAACAACAAACAACCAACAACAATAAACAACAACAAACAATAAACAACAACAAACAATAAACAACAAACATAAACAACAAACAATAAACAACAACAAACAACCACAACAACAACAATAAACAACAAACAACAACAAACAATAAACAACAACAAACAATAAACAACAAACAGTAAACAACAACAAACAAAAAACAATAACAACAAACAACAAAAACAAACAATAAACAACAATAAACAACAAACAATAAACAACAAACAAAACAATACAAACAATAAACAACAAACAATAAAAACAAACAACAAACAACAAACAATAATATTTATTTTTAATTATTATTATTAATTTTGAGTTTGTTCCAAAAGTGAAACAAATCATCACACACACACACACACACACACACACACACACAACACACACACACACAACACACACACACAACACATCACACACACACACACAACACACAATGATTCTCAACAAAAAAAAAAAAAAAAAAAATATATATATATATAATAATTGTGCTGTCACGATTAAAAAAATTGAGGATTAATAATTAACTGTAATTAATTAACTAATTAATCTCATTTAATCTCACTAAAAATTGCTGAGAAAAGCTTCATTTGAACATTTAAACTTATACAATGGCAATCAAAAAGAAACAGATTAAAAAAAGTGACATAAAGTCATTTATTGTTTAACAATCTCTCCAAACTGTTAAGTCTCATGATAAGAAACGTTTGTTGTAAGTACAAGACGAGGAAATCTGAACATAATAACTTTTTCGACTTAAAGACAATAAAAAGTCCAGTCTTCTTAACTATAAAAATATTATTGATAGAGAAACTTTAATATGAGATCACTGGTTTAGTTCTGTTTTAGTCCTTTTAGCTGTAGTTGGTTTTGGTTTATCTGTTTTAGTTCTGGTTTAGTACTGGTTAGTTGGTTTTAATTTAGTCTGGTTTAGAGCCGCACAGGAGGAAGTTTAGGCCGCGTACGGAGAAAACACGATCCACACGCGCTCACACACGCAGTAACTACAGAAGGAAACGTGGTCCGTGTTCTCCAGGTTGACGATGGAAAGGTGTGTTTTTGTGTTTTGTGTGTGTTTGTTGTGTGTGTTTGTGTGCGTGTCCCTCATGTGGCAGGTCACTTAGGACAAGCATCAGTCTATGCAGGTTGTTTCAGGCGATATTTATTTTTATTTTCTTTTTATTCACGGGAGAATAACACATGAATGTGTTTTTTCCCTGTGCACTTGCTCTGTTCTACTGCTCTTATTTGACTTAACATCACATGATTTTTGAATTGTAGAAATTTAAATCAAATATATATATATATAATATATATATATATATATAATATATATAATTTTGATATGAACAGTTGTTCGTATGATCCCGGTAACGACCTTTGCTTTATCCTCAGTGTGTTAAAGAATCACTGGTCGGACCCAAATATGCAGAGGGGAAAAAAAGTATTTATTTTACAAAAAATAGTCGTGACGGGGGATAGATTCCAGGGGAGGCAGGACGGGTCTGGGTCGGCTGCAGATGGGAGAGTCTGTGGAGATGGAGACTGACCGGAGGCTTACGGAAACTGGTGGTAACGGGATGAGACTGGCTCCAAAACGGAAGAACACTTGGTTGACGGAAAGATCCGGCGCTGGAGAGCAGGAGAGCAGGAGAGCAGGAGAGCAGGAGAGCAGGAGAGCAGGAGAGCAGGAGAGCAGGAGAGCAGGAGAGCAGGAGAGCAGGAGAGCAGGTGTTTTATTGCCGGAGATGATTACTGACGAGGATCAGGAGTGGAGCTCAGCAGGTGAGATGATTTGGGGACCAGCCCAGGAAAAACCAAATAAGGTGAGAGAAGAGAAGAGGGAGCAGGGAAAGGAGGGGTAGAGGGGCAGAAAGAAACCCTCACACAGCACGGTTTATGTTTTTACAGTTTGAAAAGCAGAAGAGGTTTGGATGTTTTATTGCCCCAAGTTTCAATAAAGTGAGTCAGATGAGATTAGATTGTGTGAAGCTGACGTGTGGTTTCCAGTTTAGCGTTTCATCTTTACACCTAAACATTTATTATCAGAAACCCACTCGATTTTAACCCCGTCAACATCGATTGAAAGTTCTGAATTTCTTTTAAATTACCAAAAAAATATTTGAATAATTTTTATCTTGTTTAAATTTAGGGAATCATCCATAACTTGATTTGACTGAACTCCGTCTTCATGGTTGTAATAAGTTATTTATAATTGTCACTGGAAAAAAAACATACTGATGTCATCTGCAAATAAAATCATTTTTAAAACATCAGATGTTTTAAATATGTCGTTTATGTACAAATTAAATAATTTAGGTCCCAAAATTGAGCCTTGTGGCAAACCACGAGCAGCACTCCTAAACCTGGAAGTGTTTTATTTTCACAAACTGTTATTTTTCCGGTCAGATAGTTTTCAGTTTAGTGTCAGGCCCGTTATGTCGGACAGTTGAAGGTTTTTGAGTCATACTGAGTGGTTTAGAACGTCAAAAGTGTCAAAAACTTTCTTTAGATCAATGAAAACCTCCACAACAGACTGTTTTTTATCCCAAACCCAAACTGACTCACTGATTATTTCATGTTTATCTAAAAATTGATTCCAATCGATTATTGTATCATTTTTCTAGAATTTGTGAAAATTGAGAGTAAAGACGCCGGGCTGTAATTATTGAACACATACATCTCCATTTTTGTAGTGGGAATAATCCCTTTAGAAATCATGGATTCAAAATAAACGTCAGAGGTTTAATAAAGTTTTTAACTATAATCATATTAATATCATAAACATCTGTTGACCGCTTATTTTGAAATTCATTTACATTGGTTATAATTTCAAGTTCGGTTGCAGGAGAAAGAAAAATTGTATTTGGATTTCTTTCAAATTCAATTTCTTTCATTTTCAATTTTATGAATTGTCTGTAAAGATATATATTTTTTTCTTTTTACAAGCGTTCTGTAAACTTGAGTAATACTTTTTTATTTATTAATTTATTTGAGCAAAGCAAAACCAAATCAGCAACACTAAATATAAATAAATACAAATAAATACTAAATAAATACAAATAAATACTAAATAAAAACAAATAAATACGAATTGGGTTTTTCTGTTGTTTATAATGTGTGTCTGCGTGTGTGTGCGTGTGTGTGTGTGTGTATCAGTGTGTGTGTGTGTGTGTGTGTCTGTGTGTGTGTGTGTGTGTCAGTGTGTGTGTGTGTGTGTGTGTGTGTGTGTGTGTGTGTGTGTGTCTGTGTGTGTGTGTGTGTGTGTCAGTGTGTGTCTGTGTGTGTGTGTGTGTGTGTGTGTGTGTGTGTGTGTGTGTGTGTGTGTGTGTGTGTGTGTGTGTATCAGTGTGTGTAATATTTTGGGTGAAAACCTGAAGCCCAAATATTCACCACTTCAAAAACAAACGATAAAGAATTTTAGTTTTGGTGTCAGGGTGAGTGACGAGAAAAAAAAAAAAAAAAAAAAGGTTTTGGGTTTAAAATGATATTTTGTTTGCATAAAGCGTCATTTATTTTGTTGTCTGTAAATATTTAAGTTCTGTGATCAATGTTCAACACGTCTCAAACTCTGTCAGGAACAAGTTTGGGTTCATTTTTTCTTTTTTTTCTTTTTGAGAAATGTGCTTTTCCATCGTTTACATGTGTGTGTGTGTGTGTGTGTGTGTGTGTGTGTGTATGTGTGTGTGTGTTGTGTGTGTGTGTGTGTGTGTGTGTGTGTGTGTGTGTATGTGTGTGTGTGTGTGTGTGTGTGTGTGTATGTGTGTGTGTGTGTGTGTGTGTGTGTGTGTGGTGTGTGTGTGTGTGTGTGTGTGTGTGTGTGTGGTGGGTGTGGTGTTGTGTGTGTGTGTAATAGTGTGTGTTGTGTGTGTCTGTGTATGTATATGTTCCCAGTGTGTGAGTAATAGTGTGTGTGTGTGTGTGTACGTTGTGTGTGTGTGTGTTGTATGTGTGTGTGTGTGTGTGTGTGTGTGTGTGTGTGTGTGTGTATGTGTGTGTGTTGTGTGTGTAAGTGTGTGTGTGTGTGTTGTGTAAAGTGTGTGTAAATGTGTTGTGTGAATGTATGGTTGTGTGGTACGTGGGTGTGTGTGTGTGGAAATGTTTGTGTGTGTTCATGTAATGACTTTTTGTTCTATAAGTTGTGTGTGTTCGAGTGTGAACTAGTTTTGTGATGAAGTGTGGAAGGTTGGTTGGTCTGTTAGGTGTGTCAGTGGTTGTGTCAGAGTGCTGTGTGGTCAATGTGTTCTGACGTGTGAGGTTGGTTGTAAAGCCATAACATGAAATGTGTTGTGTAAAAGGCATTGAGGTGTTTTGTAAGAGCTGTGTTGAGTTAAACAAAAATGAAATCTTCTGTGAAAAGATGCATAATCTTGTGGTCAAGCCAGCGATGGTTTTTTTGATGTTCAAAATCGTCCTGGAAGAGAGTTCCTTAAGACGAGAATTGTGATCTGATGTTATAAAGGAATAAATGTCTCAATCTGTGTGTTATTTTGTGTGATAAGTATAAGTGGCTGTTGTTTTTATTGGGTTGTCTGGAGGATTTTGTGTTTGTCGTTAGGTCAGTTCTTGTGTATTTAACTGTCGAGCGGTTCTTGAGGCATTTTTGCGAAAAAAAAGAACGAAATCGTATCAACTGTGTGTCGATCGGGTTAGACGAGGTTTTGAATGGCTGTTGGTGTTGCCGCAAAAGGAAAGTGTTTCGGTTGTAAGGAAGGAAAGGTTTAGGAGGTTCAAATTCACTGAGGTGATTCTTGGAGATCTCGTCAGCGATGGTGCGACCGAAGCGGCACGACGAGGGTCTAAAAACACGCGTCGGTCGTGATAAATTACTCTCTAGAGGAAACTTCAACAGTGATTCTGAACGCGCAAAGGACTGTCGCTGTATTTCTTCTCCCTTAAAAAATCCTCTATACTAACCTGTAATTCGTTTTTATAAGCGCGCGTTCTCCCAAAACTGCTGACCTCTGACCTCTGACCTCTGCTGGTTCAGACCTCTGCTCAGGTTCAGGTGTAAATGGTTCACTGTCTGTAATTAAAGGATGCATTACTTTTTGCTGTAACGCAGAAATGTTCGTCATTACAGGGGAAAAAATAGTAATATTTTACTCGGTACAAATGTGAGTAACTCACGTTACAATGTTTTTTAACCTGGATTGAAGTGGTGGGTTTAGACCTGGTTTAGACCTGGTTTAGACCTGGTTTAGACCTGGTTTAGTTTACCTGGTTTAGACCTGGTTTAGACCTGGTTTAGTCCTGGTTTAGTTTTCCTGGTTTAGTCCTGGTTTCCTGGTTTAGACCTGGTTTAGTTTACCTGGTTTAGTCCTGGTTTAGTTTAGACCTGGTTTAGTCCTGGTTTAGTCCTGGTTTAGACCTGGGTTAGACCTGGTTTAGACCTGGTTTAGACCTGGTTCAGTCCTGGTTCAGTCCATATACAGCGCAAAAGTTATTTTGGTGAGAGTAACTTAAAGTAATGTAATAGTAATGTAATGTCTTACATTTTAAATGCAGTAATATTGTAATGTAATGAATGACTTTGAAATGACAGTAATAGGTAATAAATAACACATTACAGTTTCAAAGTAACTTGCCCAACAGTGGAGGTCAGGTCAGAGGTCAGAGGTCAGAGGTCAGAGGTCAGGATGGGCCCAGTTGAGGTGTGGGACTTTGCCTGTGGCCTTGGAGACGGGACGATTCCACTCAGTCCCAGAGGAGGAGCACATGTGTCTGTGCCGCTTAAAGGAGGTTGAAAATGAAAAGTATTTTGTGTTTTACTGTCGTTTGTATCATGACCTTCGTCGTGTCTAATGTGTCTCACTGTTGGTTTGTTCTGTCTGATGAGGAGAGACTCAAGTATTTGTTTAAATTTAATGTTTTGAAGTTGGCTCAGTTTGTGTTGAAAGTCTGGGACGTCCGTAAGACGACACTTTACACTGTGACCCAAATTATTATGCAAGTCAGTTTTTTTAAAATAATTTCTTGATTCAGATATGTTCCACTAACGAAAAAGTGGTATTAATTCATGCCTGATAAGGCAGTTGATTAACCAAAAGCATCAAATATTTGAAGCATTTACATATTGAGTAAAAATGTGTTAAAATGTTAATATGCTGTGAACCAAATTATTCTGCAGGCATTTATAAAGGGGAGTATTCTGTGTTCTGTGACCATAAGCACTAAAGATGGGAAAGAAGAAGGACCTCAGTAGTAAGGAGAAGGCGACCAACGATTGAAATAGCAAGATTATTGGACCGAGACCATAGGACAATCAAGGCCTTTGTTTCCAATGGTGAAAAAACAAGAAAAAAACATGAAGAGGCTCCAAGGAGGAAGCTAACAGCTCGAGATTTGTCAGCTTTAAAGAGAGAAATGATCAAACAGCCGTTGAGTTCCAGTGCAAGCATCTTTTCTGCTGTTGGTCCAGGCCACACCCCAAAGAGCTCAAGGAATCATGTTCTGAAAACACTTGGTAAGGTCCAAAAAGTGAAAACAAGGCCTCCACTTAATCAAAAACACAAGGACAAAAGACTGGCATGGAGTAAGAAGTATATGAAATTGGATTTTGGGCAAGTTATCTGGACTGATGAGATACGTGCCCCTCGATGCTCTCGGACGGTTGGGCTGAAGGTTGGATAGTCGAAGGTACCGATGCTCCACCCAGGTTGAGGCGTCAGCAAAGGTGGAGGTGTTATGATGTGGGCGGGCATCATCAAAAATGAACTCATTGGCCCTTTTCCGGGTTGCAGAAGGAGTGAAAATGGATTCGGCAAATTACTGCAAATTCCTAGGAGAAAATTTCCTTCCGTGGTTGAAGAAGAAACCAGCTGCGCAGCTCAAGAAAATGATGTTCATGCAGGATAATCTCCAAGTCATGCATCCAAGTTTACTGCTGACTGGCATCAAAGGGCTTCCTACAGGACCAGCATCCTCACCCCATTTAAACTGTATAGAAAATCTGTGGTCGATCCTGAAAAGAAGGGTTTTTGAAAATGGAAAACAGTTCTCATCAAAGGATAAGTTGTGGGAAGCTTTTTGATGGATTCAACATTTATATTAATCTCACTGTGTATGTAATGGTAATGTAATATTCACTTTTGGCTACTCAATCTAATTATAATCAATATATCAATATGTGCACTTAAACGATTCTGTTTCTGAGTATTGCAGATTTCATGAGTTTGCAGAAGGTCACGAAGTCCTATCAAATTCAATAACAGGAAACATCTTGGGCGACCATTGCTTGAGGAGGATAAAACTAAGGAGGATGAAATGAGGAGGGCAGACTGACCTTAACTCTGGCCTGAATACTGTATTGAAGTGTTATTTTTGTTTTTCCTGTAAGCAAAAGAGGAACTACTCCTAAATGTTTAATGTTTGCATGTTCCCCCTCCCGTTCTGAGAGGAGTAGTTCCCATTGTAACTAGGGGTCCTAATACTGAATAAAAGGCGTGGAGAAACGAGAGGAGACTTTAGAGAGTATTTGAGAGAACAGCAAGTTACATGTAACTAAAGTCCTTCTCTCGGTTACTCCCTCCACACGTGTAAAAGATATTAATCTCTTGTCTTCTCTCCTGTTATTGAATATTGAGTATAGGTGTAAAGGTGAACCTATCACTTTTGTAAAGGCTGCAAAAAACATTAAACCTGCTGAAATTGAAAACGTGACGTCTTCAATGGACAACAGGCTCCTTACTCTGGTGCAGAAGAAAAGGTGGCTACATCCCCAAGTAAAGAATCATCCAGATATGCTTATTATTTGACAATTTGTGCTCAGGATAGTCTATCTGACAATATAAAATATGTTTGTTAATAAAACAAGATGTTTTATTTTCATATACTGGATGTTTTACTTTGAAATAAATTTGATGTGTGATCTGTCTGCTGATGGTTTATGTTATTGTTGATCTAAATGGTGCATGACACTAAATAAGTAAAATAAAATAAAGTAAACTAAACTAAACTTAACATTAAAAAAAAAAACAACTAAATCTAATGTTGCTTGAATAAAAAAAAAACATTTATTCCACTGGTGGATCATTTCACTTTTCAAATTGAATCGACTCAAATAAAGACAAATGTTTTTAAATTTAAATCATTTTAACTTTAGCACAGAGAGAGTTGAGTTTTTTTTCCAGTGAGGCAGAAGAGTTTGTGTGTTTGTTCGCTTTTCGGACTGGGTTAGTTTTGTAATTGAAGTGGTAAGTCCGTGGTGGTTTTGTCAGACTTGGCGCAGACGTGTGGAGTCAGAGTCTGGGTCAGTGTGGAAAAGTTTCTGATGAAATCCAAAAGCTGAAGTAATAAAACTGCAGAAATACCTTTGTCTGTGACGTTTGTGAAGACGACGACGAAGACGACGAAGACGACGAAGAGCAGAAGTGTGACCTGCAGCTACACACACCAGAACAGATCTGCAGATAATGAAAGAATGATGAACACACAACACACGCAATACAACACACACACACACAACACACACACACACACATACAACACACACACACACACATACACACACACACACACATACACACACACACACATATACAACACACACACACACATATACAACACACACACACACACACATACAACACACAAACCACAGGGAGAGTCGCTCTGGTCCTACCTGTTCTACTGCTGCTGCAGGAAACACACACACACACACACACAGAGAGAGAGAGAGAGAGAGAGAGAGAGAGAGAGAGAGAGA